CACGGTGGGGGAGGGGGAGATAATAAAGCACACATAAGAAACACATTGAACTGACTCTATTTTTAGGTCCACATTAACGTCCCATTAAATTTACCTCTTTATTAATTTATTTATAAAGTAGGAATAATATAAGTAAATGTGCTTTTTAAAGATAATTTTGATTTATAATGCCTTTAATATATTAAATATATATTTCGCATTTCAATTTCATGCGTTTCCGTATACGTATCATAAGTTCTTAAAGATTGCGTAATGTAAATAGGACTTAAAACTGAAAAGGAGAGTTGCTACAAAAAGGGTCAAGCGGTAATTTGCAAAAAAAAAAAAAAAAAAAAATTAAAAATCTTCAGGGAACACACCCACTCTTTATTGGCTTCTCTCCAATTGGCAACATATAATTCGATATAAAGTCATGTTCATAAAATACTTAAGTACAACTATAAAAAAACATCTTCTGTGTTTGTTTACTTCATCACAAGTGCTTATTAATTTCAAAAAGGATTACAAAGGCAACATGCACTGAGTGTATCTTTCCACTTAATTAATTTCATGAAAAATGCACTAATACCAACACCGGGCATCAAATATACTTGTATTTTGTGGTTTAGCTGTAAGCCGTTCAATAGTTGCCAATAATGTACTTTGTAACCTTTTGCCTTGATGAGTGACAATGTATTTATTAGTAACAATATAATTATATTGTCAACAAGCAAAGTGCACGTAGTATGCAATGCACTTTTTAATTTTAATCACAACTGGCACGTTTCCAAAACTTTTACTACAACCGAGACATCGAGGTCAGGTAGTAACCGACCCGACCTCAATCTGTCAAATCAGACGAAATACATCAGTTGTAAAATATACAACAAAGAATCTATAAGAGTTTCAAAACACGTCACACAAACTTACATTTAGGATAATTGTTTTAAAATATAGCTAAAGAGCGTACCTGTCTCGGAGTGTGGTAGGAGAAATGAAACTCGTCGCTGATACGTCGGAGTTCTTTGCCAACCTCCGTTTCTTGGGCTTCCCTCAAGGCAGGCACATCTGGCAGTGATATTGAACGGTCTCTTCCCATGGCCAAGGGTACCAAATCGGGAAGGGGATCGTGGGGTACATAGTCATCAGAATTGTGACGTAGTCTATTGTGAACCGTACCTGAAAAAAGAAAAAAAGAAAATGGAAAAATTTAACTTTTGAAGATGTTATATTTATTTTAACGTAAATGAAATATTATGACAACGAATTATTTAAATAAACTTACATCCATCGCTTGTATAAAGACAATATTAACATTGGGACACACACAAATAATTCAAAACAAAAACAAGGAAACGGAAACTGTACCCTTTAAACCACTAGCCAAAGGTCAGAGACGTGAAGTTTAAAATTAATGTATAAAAAATATGACATAATGAAATATTAACTTAAAATTTATTTTAGTCTTAATTAATAAAATGATGTTGAAACTTTTTAATTTATATTGAACTTTGATCTTTCATCCTTGATCAATGTCAACAGGAAAAAAATGACATCGAAGAAGATTTGTAATGTCTATATATATACATACATCACCTGTATGTATTTATACAAGTTATTATAATTGTTTGTATATACTTGTGGTGTTGTTTCCGTTTTCCAGTCATGTATGTAATTACGAAAGGGACCATTTTCGCTGTCTATTAAAGGGACAATATATATTTGTTTATACGCGTATTTGACCATTTTCGTCGACGTATCATTAAATAAAATATTTGAAATAAAAAATATACAGAATAAGTTCCTCGCAACAATTAATTATATAAAAAAATGCAAATGAATGAATAAATTAATCCGAACTGAATATAAATCGAAAAAATAAATAAACTTTACTAATCATTAATTGCAAATTACCTGGTTATCGAAAATAAATAAATAAGCACATTAGAGCACACGTGAATTAGACATACGTCAAGTATTAAAGTACAGTCTAATAGTGACAGGAGAAATGACCCTCACAATTATAATATGAATAAATCAACACAATTATTTAAGTGCTGTATAATTACTTCATCTCATCATCAAGGACGTATATTTGTTATAAATCCTTGATCTGATTTATTGTTTCCATATGTATTATCGCTAGATGTATATATGTCACATTTAAAAGAATAGATGATGCAACAATAAGAAGAAAACTCACCTCTAGCTAACGGTGCATCATAAGGATGGAATCTATCAGACAATGTATTTACAGCATGCAGAACAATCTGGCTATTTTGATGAGGAGTCTGAGTGCTAATTGTCCTCTGACCTATAGGTCTAAAATGACGCCTTTTATGATAGTTTGATGACCTTAAAGATGATACTCTGTGGAAACTATATGATGTAAAATGTTGAGTTTCAGAAATGCACCCCAAATCTTCTGGAACGTCATTGTCAAACTGGGGTGCAGGAGCACTAGGACGGACAAATGGAATAGGCACTGTTCTAATGTTCTCTAAAGACATAGCACATTCTACTTCTTTATCCGTATTTTCTGACATTTCCTCAGCATCGTAAAAACAATCATCCGAAAGTTCTCCACTGTCATCGAATTTGTTAAACTTTGCACTACGGCTTGAATTTTCTTCACTAACTATATCCTCATCAAAATTAAATTGAAGTTGCTTATTTGGTGTAGCTGGTGTCGCTGGTGAATTGTCATGTGTCATATATCCACTGTCCCGTTTCTTATCATATAAATGAAAGGCAGATGAATTATCCTTGGGAATTTTCAGTCCATCCGATTTGCTAGGTTCCATTTTATTCTTCATAGGTGACATGTGACTAATCCCATTGTTCACAAAGGTGTTTTCTATATTGCTTATGTAATCTACAACAATAAAGATAAAAGTTTTGAAAAAAGTACAGTGTAATAAAACAACATTTATCAAAACAAATAAATTATTATAAATTGACTTCGATTTCGTAACACTTATTTATAGCAAAAAGCATGGATACAAAAATTGACTTATAAAATAAATTTATATTATTTGTTAATAGATAAGTTATTATTATTTAAGAAATAAAACATACTTAGAAAAAAGTTTAACAAGATCCGCAACATAAACTAATACATTATCGAAAAAAAGTACTCAACACTTACCGTCTTGTGTGTATCACTTTTCCCGCAAAATTAGCCTACTACACTAAAGATTATAGTAAAATACGCGTGCCACTGTTTTGAAACATTGCGTCACGGTCCTAATAAGGAAATAACCAATCATTTTACAGTCAATGTTAAAAACTTGTTTAGACTTGCTAATCATCACAGTTTTGAAGCCACGCCCTTAAACAGTTAAGATGTTACTTCGGCATATTTTCTTCAGAAAAAAATGCTAAAAATTGAAAAATACATTTAAAAAATTTTATGAAAATAGTTTAAATAACTTTTAAGGAAAAAGAAATGCACACATTTTATAGATAATGCCATTAAAATAATCTTAAAGGTGGGCGGGGCTTAAATGACTGACAAATCCGTCTTTTATTCGTGCGTATTAACGGAAATATATCGAAGGTAGACAACTCTACATGAGAAGGCGCGATAAACAAACTACGAATTATTTATATTCCCGTTTTATGTTATTGTATGGCTTTTAGCTCAAATATTTGGTGAGATCATACTTAAAAGATGTTCTTTGCAAACACTGTATATATATAAAAAAAAGAAGCACAGACAATTTTGGTCCAGGGACTGTCAAAATAATTTTTAGCCTTTTAGGTGTTTCAGATTTCAATCTAAGAATATATCATATGTACATGCAACATTATCATAGTGGGTATACTGGCGTTTGGATGTTTAATACTACATGATACTGTATACATAAAATAGGCACACAAGTATATGGGACAGTATTGTTTGGACCTTTTTGGTTGCCAAAATGTAGTTCGTTTATTTTTATGTTAAAATATCACATTAACAGACATGACTTGGACAGAAGCTTGTTTATGATCATAAGATAGTATCCAGAAGTAAATTTTGTAAAAAAAAAAATCCTGTTTATCCGTATTTTACTCATAAATGGACTTAGTTTTTCTGTCAGTTTACATTACATTCACTCTGTTGTTAAAGTTTTTCAAATTTTAATAACTTTCTTAAACTATCCTGGATTTGTACTACACTTGGACAGAATAAAATTGAGAATGGAAATGGGGAATGTGTCAAAGAGGCAACAACCCGACCATAGAGCAGACAACAGCCGAAGGCCACCAATGGGTCTTCAATGCAGCGAGAACCTCCCGCACCCGGAGGAGTCCTTCAGAGCTTGTTTGTGATCATAAGATAGTATTCAAAAGTAAATTTTGTAAAAAAAAAAATCCTGTTTATCTGAATTTTACTTATAAATGGACTTTTTCTGCCAGTTAACATTACATTTACTCCGTGGTTAAAGCTTTCAAAATTTTAATAACTTTCTTAAACTATCCTGGATTTGTACCACACTTGGACAGAAGCTTGTTTATGATCAAAAGCTAGTATCTAGAAGGAAATTTTGTAAAAATTTATTTCCTGTTTTTCCATATATTACTTATAAATGGACTTAGTTTTATTCCAGTTAACATTACGTACAGTCTGCAATTAAAGTTTTTAAAACGTTTATTAGATTCATAAACCTTCTTGGATTTTTACCAAACTTGAACAGAACTTCTTACAATCAAAAGATAGTATCTAGAGGAAAATTTTTAATAATTTTTTCCCCCATTTTTGTTGAGCTGGGACTAACAGCAAAAGTAGGCGAGACACTGGGTTCCGTTTAACCCTTACGAATTTTTGCCTTTGAAAAATACAGGAGTTCGATTTGTGTATATTGTATGCAAGTTCTTTGTATAACAATATGAGGGACGTAATATTATTTAAAAGGTAGATAACTATTATCTATATGTAATACATTTTAAATAATAAAGTTATTTTATTTAGGAAAAATTAAAACTACAAAGGCACCCTGCACAAGGCACAGCATACATTACACAGTCTGCCATAACATGATCAGGTTTAAATAATTATGTCTGCCAGAGTCTACTAAGATTTGAACTTGTATGAAAGACACACAAATCGAATTCATGAAGTTAAATTGTACTTCTTTTGAGTAAAAATGACATATATCTCAAAATCATAGAATTTTTTTTTTATCTACAGCAGCAGTTTTACTCCACATACAGTAAAGTCTTCATGTAAAATCTATCGGATCTCGGGTTCATATTGAGTTTGAAGGAGTTCTCAGGAAATTGTTGTACTGATCCAATCCTCCGTAGAGAAATATATTAATTTAACACATTTATCTAAGCAGTCATAAAGAAACTATCCACGTTAGAATATTCATCCTTTTGCTCAACATACTAACACCAATTTTATGCCTAACAAATGCACAAAAGAAATCAAATAACCTCATCTAACACCAAACACTTTGGACGATAGACAAAGATTGATTAAGGGCATTGCTAGAAAAAGAATAATTTTTTATTTGAGATGTCAAGATATTTTCTGTTATGACTTGGAACATATTTCATTTGGAATGGCAGACAAAAATAAAATTTAATGTATTGGACTTGTACAAGTATGCAAATATGTATAGTGCCTTAAATATTATGGGTTGGAAATACATGTTAATTACTTTGGGATAACCCCAAGAAAGACAGATTTCTGGACAGGGATGAAAATTTAGATTTTTCAGGAACCTGATGTTCAGTGGTTGTCGTTTGTTGATTTGGTTCATAAGTATTTCTCGTTTCTCGTTTTTTTTATATAGATTAGACCGTTGGTTTTCCTGTTTGAATGGTTTTACACTAGTAATTTTTGGGGCCCTTTATAGTTTGCTGTTCGGTGTGAGCCAAGGCTTTGTGTTGAAGGCTGTACTTTGACCTATAATGGTTTTACTTTTACAAATTGTGACTTGGATGGAGAGTTTTCTCATTGGCACTCATACCACATCTTCTTATATCTTTTTATACTGTAAAATTACAAAATTTTTATTTTGAAATTTTTTAAGTTAAACCTAATGAAACTTCCAATTTTCATGGCCCTGCTGCTGCATTATAACATATAGATTTCCCAAAATATTATTTGAGACATATTTAGAAATATGAATTTGATAAATTTTTCATTAAAAATTTTGTCTCCAAAACTTAAGTTTTTATAACTGTAAAAGAAAATGTACATGTCAGGGATAATCTCTAGCTTGATCCCATATTTTGCAGCTTTTTGGTTGTTCAGATGGATCGTTACAGTTTGTCTTTCAGAATGTTGACAGTTCTTTGATAAATTATGGGAAGTCTGTGGGTATAGGGCTGACATATGCCTACCTAAATGATGTGATTTGTTATTGTTTTTTTATGGATTACATGGTTCTGTTGTGATTGTTCAATTAGTTTCTTGACTATGAAACCTTATATGCTGCTCAGATAATGTTGTCAAGAAAAACATTTGGCTTTTCCATATTGAACTTGGAAAGCCTACAGAAATTTAAACTAACAACAGCGCTGTATGAGGAAAACATCAAATCATAGAAACTCAAGACAAGCAACAAAAAAATAACCAAAAGAAAATGACGAGGAAATGTAGAGAACTTATTTTAATTAGATTGTTAATCATCCTGTTATTCAAAATGTTGTATAAAACTCTCTGGAAAAAATTTTGCAATGTTAAAAAAATTGTAAATCAGGTTTTCAAAGCAGAAATGTTTATTGGTTGAGTGAAGATAGTATTTTGAAATACCCACCAAATCTGGATGGGAACTTGGTTGAAATGCATGTTCAAAATACAGAAAATTAAACCAAGAAAATATTGTGATATTTTGAAATTTTTTATCTTAGAAGGTCTGAAAAACTGCTTTTCTTTGGACTGAATCTGAAGACACCTGGAGACCTCACAAAAAAATACTTTTTCATATATAATACATGTGTTCTTTTTGAAAAAAAAAGATAAAAATCTTTGTAAGAGAGACTGGGATATGAATTTGTGATCTCTTTACTTCTTAGTTTTTGTAGTTATTTATTTAATTTTCTTCTTGTTACTTCATATTCTGTAGGTCTACTGGACAGCTATGGTCAGTAAAACCACCTAGAATTCACCTGTCATCTTACCTGACTGGAGGTTTAAAGAAGTTATACCATCATCTGAAGAATGACTGCCTTAGTCTACCAGTGTACAGTTAGTCAATCTAGTATATTACAGTGAAAATATTTGTCATAAATGAACATTTATTAAAAAAAGAAATGGAATTAATTATAAATTTGACTTTCAAAATTTATCCTTGTAGCTCCACTAATCTTTCAGAATTTGCTGGAAGAGCATCTAATCAGCTGAGATATTTTCAATGTCTCCTCTGAAACTATTGAGCCAAATTTAACTGTACTTTCAAATCATATCTGGCTGCTGTAGGCCAAATTTTTATAAAAAATATTTTCTGTCTAGTGGGAGAATAAAAGAGAAGGTAGGAAGGTAAAATTATTTTATTTTCTTAAATACTTACATAGACTAAATAGGGAAATATAATAGACTTTAACTGTGCTCATGCAAAATTGACTTGACTTAAATAGTGCTTAACAAAAACGTTTATAAAATGTGTCGGAGTAGATATGAAAATAGGAAAAATTTTCATAAAATGTTTAAGGAGTGGTAGAGGCAGGAAAAAAACACTATTTTTGTTCTTGCGTTATCTATTACCGATATCTGTTAAGTTGTTTCCAATGTAACATCAATTAATGATTCTTTTCCAGGGAAGGGACAATTTACAAATGATGAAGGTCACTTCTACATTAGTGGATCCTGTGTTATGGCCTCCAGATATAGGATAATAGACCTCATAAGTGAGAAAGGCCAGTCAGGCGTGTTGTTAAGGGCAGAGGTAAGAATCATCCATACCTGCTTAAGTAAGGGGAGATAATTAAATATTACAAATGTACTTGAGGTGTAATACCACCAAATCATAGTACGTCACATCCGGTTGCATACGAAAATAGGTCGAAAAAAAATATTCCCTTGAATTTGACAGTTGTAGGTAATTGATCCTACATTTCATTGCAGTAAAACATTTCTGAGTCATAAACATATATCTTGGGTATTTCAAAGCACCATTATTTCTTTATTTGGGGTTTCTATAGAATATTTTGGAAACTTGAGGTTACATGGTTACTAAAGCTTGTACACAGGTTAAAAAAGGGGGAAAATTTGATTGGTTAACTTCCAGTGATGGTTATTTTCTTATATGCAATGAAATGTTATGTGAAATTTTTTCTATAGTACTGGACAGGATAAAACTTTACTCATGCCAAGTATTTCTTTATTTGAAACAAAGATAAATTCTGCACAATTTTTTGAAAAGTGCAAATTTAACAAAGACTAATAGGGGAAAATCAATGGTGGTATTACACCTAATATGGGAAGCTGTACATGCACCTTTGACCTTGTGAGTACTCTCATGTGTTAAAATTTCTTGCTATTTAAGTGAAATATTACAAATAATGAAATATTCTGAGTGGATTGAGTCTCCAAAATACATTTTATGAGAAAATTTCCTTGAAATAGGACTTTACCATGAATATTAGTTGACAGAACAAGCCATACTTAGAGTCTTGGGGAGCTTTTTCTCCTTATTTCTTATATTCTGCTATACTAGAAAATTTTTCCTAAGAAATACTTTAATAGATATATAGTTTTAAGTAAATGAAATTATTTTTAAAGCAGTAACAACAAATTATTCACCAAAAGAGAAGTTTTTTATGTCCCTCTCTGGAACGCGGCGTAAATTTAAGTTTTACGCAAGGACTTATTGAAACCTCCTTGGAGACAGTAAACTTTTATACGGATAGTTCAAGCAGCTTGAATACTTCAATTAATCATTTATAATAACATTTCTATCATAAATGAGTGAAAGTTACCCCAAAATTTTTATTTATTGGCCTAAAAAGTAGAAATTTTGAGGAAATGAGAGGTATAAATGGACCAAAAGAGACTTTGTAAGGAAGAATAAGAGGTCCATTAGTAGTATTTATCATCCTAAAGTCATCTTTTGTATCATATTCAACTGTTTGTAGGCAGATGAGATAAATATTTGATCATTTATTGGTCCACACTATATTCTATCATGATGCGGCTTGGTTTGAATTTTTCGAAGAAATTTTGCTCGAATCGCTGTAGATGTCGTCTTACATTATACTAGATTTTTCTCAAACTATTGAACTGATTATGACAAAACTTGACAGGAATGCTTGAAATAACCAGTATTACAAAGGAAAAAAGTCACATTCAGTTTATTCAACAAAAAAGTCTTCTTTAGGTGTAATACCACCAAATCATAGTACGTCACATCCGGTTGCATACGAAAATAGGTCGAAAAAAAATATTCCCTTGAATTTGACAGTTGTAGGTAATTGATCCTACATTTCATTGCAGTAAAACATTTCTGAGTCATAAACATATATCTTGGGTATTTCAAAGCACCATTATTTCTTTATTTGGGGTTTCTATAGAATATTTTGGAAACTTGAGGTTACATGGTTACTAAAGCTTGTACACAGGTTAAAAAAGGGGGAAAATTTGATTGGTTAACTTCCAGTGATGGTTATTTTCTTATATGCAATGAAATGTTATGTGAAATTTTTTCTATAGTACTGGACAGGATAAAACTTTACTCATGCCAAGTATTTCTTTATTTGAAACAAAGATAAATTCTGCACAATTTTTTGAAAAGTGCAAATTTAACAAAGACTAATAGGGGAAAATCAATGGTGGTATTACACCTTGAGGCTGATCCATTAAAGCATATTATATGGAACCCAGAAAATGGGATAACCATCTACAAATGCATTTAGCCAAGACAAAAATGTTAGTCTATTAATGAACCAAATCAGTGGCAACATCAAGAAACAATCAATGAAAATTAAGAAAACAAATGTTGCATTCCTAAACTTAGTACAGGATTTAAAAAGTTTGTTAGACCAGTGTATACAACACCAAACTAACTGTAAGAATATCAAATACATGCTCAGTATCTGTATGTTAAAAGTATTTTTTTTATACCCTGCCTATGATTGTTGGTGGGGCATAATGTTATCCGTCGCAAGCGTCAGCCCTTTCTTCCATCCTGTATCAAGTTAAATTTTTTGGTTAGGGAAGTTAAGGATGTTCCCTTGTCATGTTTTGGAATTTTTTTTTAAAATTTTGCCCACCAACCCCCATTTTTCTTTTTATAAATCTTTTACATGTATAATTATAAGCCATCTGTAAAAGTCTTATAAAATCTTTGTTACTTTTTAATAGTTTTTGACAACTTGCAATGATAAAGCTATGAAAAATCAAGAGAGAACATTTTCCCGCCAACATTTCAATGGCTCATACAGTGTTCTCCCCAGGATTTTTGGATAGCACCAGGGTAAGGCGTGACGAAATGAATTTTACAATATTTTGTGTCTCGTTGCATCGCTTATTTTTTTCTTGTTAGTTTTTGTGTCATTACCTTTTTGTCTTTTGTTTTGTTTACTGTGGTACTGTGTTATGTAGACTTTGGGTCAGAAAATTATTGGTATATATATATAATGACATATCTCGAAAACAAGTACACGAACCTATATTTTTTTTTCGCTCTTTTTGTTCCTTTATAATATAAATCCCCTATCAATATATTCTAGTGTTATGAAAAGCTTGTTATTTTGAAACTGAGTAGCGAACTTCCTTAACCTTGAAGTTGTGGTCACATGAACTTGAAACTTAGTGCACATGTTCTTTATGATGTAACCTTTAAAAAAAATATCAAATTAGGATTTTGACCTAGATTAAGCTATTGACTGAACATTGAAATGTGATAGTGCAAGTGGGTCATGGTGTCCTGTTTACACATATTTTTGTTATCTTCCTAAATGCTTGTGTATTGATATTATGAGATTATGTTTTAAATTTTATGAGTGCAGTTGACTAAAAGCAAAATGGCCTGTAATGGTAAAAAAGATTCTACCGAAATATTTCCATTGATTTTATTTATAAATACAGTTAAGATAGTCAAAATTTAACGTGTGAGGCTTGCTGCGTAAATTTATTTTTATATTGAACATTTGAGAGTAGATGATTATCATAATTAATATGACAAAGTAGTCAAAAGTGAATGATGATTAAACCAGAAACTTCCAAATATGATATTCCAACTAAACTTGACAGGAAATCACATGCGACAATTTCATCATGTGCTTGAACATAAACTTATTCAACTGGATGCAACCAGTTTAAATGTATGAAAAATTGGAAGAAATATAAACATAATATAGAACTTCTATTGTTGATAAATCTTGTATCTTGTATTTTTGGGATTAGAAATAATAACATCATCATGTGCTTTAACATAAATTTATTCAACTGGATGTAACCAGTTTAAATGTATGAAAAATTTGAAGAAATATAAATATAATATAGAACTTCTATTGTTGATAAATCTTGTATCTTGTATTTTGGGGATTAATACTAATTTGCAACTTAATAAAATTGAGAATGGAAATGGGGAATGTGTCAAAGAGACAACAACCCGACCATAGAGCAGACAACAGCTGAAGGCCACCAATGGGTCTTCAATGCAGCGAGAAACTCCTGCACCTGGGGGCGTCCTTCAGCTGGCCCCTAAACAAATATGTATACTAGTTCAGTGATAATGGACGTCATACTAAACTCCAAATTATACACAAGAAACTAAAATTAAAAATGATGCAAGACTAACAAATGCCAGAGGCTCCTGACTTGGGACAGGCACAAAAATGCAGCGGGGTTAAACATGTTTTTTGAGAACACATTAAGATTTAATCTTTTTTTTTTTTTTTTTTTGTTGTTCAAGTATTTAGATTTTAATATAAATTTGTTTTGGCTATTCCACTACATTTATTATTTTGTTTTTTCTTATGCATGTACCACATATGAATATTATGTTGGAATATAAAATCTGTTTAGAAAAAAAAAACAGTGACTAATATGTCAAGAAAAAAGAATGACTTCTTCCAAAATACACATGAACGTTTTGTATTTGGCAGTTGCAAATCTTAAATCTCATCATTGTTTCTGAATACAAAGTGATGTTGGGTATATAGCTATGAGATAGCCAACCATCTGCACAAAAACCCATAGACAGCTATCTTTGTTACTGTCTTTTTATATTTTTTTTGTCAGAGTCAATACAGTATCAGGGGAAATAACTGCTAATGAAATTTCAATGTTCTGCCCTTTCTGGTTTTGATCAAAATGACAATGATGAAATATAATACCAGGAAAGAAAAATTTGAAAATTGAAAATTTCGCAAAATAACCATTGAATCAGTTACAAATAAATGTTTTGTCTTTGAAAGAAACTATAGATGAATCATTGTATTTTGTCCAAGTTGTTGGTTACTTTTACAAAGACAATTGGAGTTTTGACATTATAATGACCTGATTTGTTATTTGGTTTGTAATAATGTTGTTGGGTTGCTGTCTCATTGACATTTACAACATTTTTATAAGTCTAGGAAGTTTTATGAAAATTAAGACTAATCTCATTGTTATAGCCCTTAAAATAACCGTAGTCACGTTCATCTAATTGATGATATTTTTACTTGCATGTAATTTGATATTGTCTTGTGTTTACAGTGCATTGTTTCATGCACAAAGCACTGTTTTTTTTAAAGAAGATATTATTATAAGAAGTTCACTGGGTGCACAATGACATAGACATCATGCTCAATGACATAGATGTTGCAATGTATTTAAAAATAGGTACATTTGAGAAAGAATACATTTCAAAGCAACAAAGAAAACGTAAATAGAATGGCCATTTTCATTAAGAATTGTTTAAAAAGAGACAAGATTATATCTGAATTTGATAGACAAGATTAA